ATACTAATAATAATAATATGAATTAAATATGATTAGTATGAATTATAAATAATATAGAATGAGATAATATAAAAATAAAATGAAATAGAATGAAATAATATAAAAATAGTATAAAATAGAATGAAAATAGAATGAAATAATATGAAATAAAAATAGGATAGTATGAAAAATAATAAAATTAGAATGAAATATTATAAAAATAGTGTAAGATAAATATGGATAATATAAAATAAATATGAATATAATTTATAAATCAATTATCTAATTAAAATAAACTAAGAAAAATCATGTGATATATCAAAATTCATATCACAACAATACGTTGTTCTATTTTTGGAATAATTGTTACATGATCTATTTCAGGAGCAGAATCTATTTTAGATGTATTACAAGTATATGATTTAATTTTTTGTACAATTAAACACTTTATATCATGTGTTCAATAAATAATGCATAATAATGATCAGAAAAAATTAATTATACTATCAAATTATATAATGAATACCGAGTTAAGTTGATCAATAATATTAATATTTGAAACTATCTATGCTTTTATCATTACTATTGAAATTGAATTTTGATATTTATTTATATAATAATAGAAATGATAAGTTTTTTCATCATAATATTTATCACTATCCCAAATATATTCTATATAATTTTTATATTTTTTTATGGTTTTTATTATATAAAGAGCAGGATACTGATCTATTAAAATCAAAATAATTATTTTTAAAGCTATATTTCAGAGTTAAAATAAAAAATTACTCTAATATTATGTTAATAACATGTTGTTATTTTTCTTTAGGTAAAACAGAAATTGAGAATTGTCATTTAGATAGTGTGATTTGAATATTTACTTACGATGCAAATAAAATCTTTTTCTCAACATCTTTTTCAATTTGTGAAAATTCAAAAGTTTCAGACTTTATCCAGAAATCAAGTACAATCTCTTCTGTATATACTCTATATAAGATTAAATAAATTTTATCAATCAAAAAACTTGGTACTTTAATCAATTTAGCATACTAATTCAAATATTTAGGAGTTAAGGCATGAAGTATCATTTCTCTGAAATAGGCTTTATCCATATTATTATTTTATATGATTGCAAATTCAAATTAAGTATGAGTTATGTCTTTGTCTCACAAAATACTTATGTGCTGACACTCTAAAAAAAATAAATATAATTAATTAATTTACAATCATTTGAAACATACCTGAATAACTTTATAACTTAGATTGTTATCTCAATTTTATGTCTCTCATATTTAATAAAATAGGATCCAACTTCATATTTATCTTTTATATTTTTTTCTTTCTCATGACTTTGTTGTATACTGAACATAATGATCTCTTATGAATTCCATAATAATTAAATTTTTCACTACTAAATTCTTTATATAGATCAAAATATCTTATTATAAAAATAAACATGATCATGGGTCAGATTATTTTGCTTTTCAGTTAAAGTTTTTTTGAGTTAAGATATAGATAATATACTTTTTTCACTCATCTTGACTTCTGATAAGATCTTAGTTTTCACAGAAGATTTAGAAATTTGAGATTTAATGAATGTACTTATTTCGGTTATATGATTTTGATGATGAGTCATCGTCAAAATTCCACTCATGTGATTTTCTGACCCTTTAGGAGCATTTTCTTGAGATATATTAAACTCATTATAATTAGAAATATTATCAATAATCTTTTGAATTTGATTATTTGTCAATTCTGAAATAGAATTTGCACTGTATGCTTTAAGATATTTAATTTTATCAATGCCTATTTTTTCGAATAATTTATAAGTCTTTATAACTCTTTGAATTTTTCTACATAAAGTTTTACACAAGATTTTTGGAAGTTGTAATTCCATTTTTTTGGATCTTTTTTTACGGATGATAGTAAAGTGCTCTAATATTTTATTATAAATTATATCTTTTATCTTTTTCTTGTTAATTTTGCCATTATTATTTTTTATAAGATCATTATATTGAATTATGAATTCTTTTTCATAGTTAATCCAGCATAAGATTTCTTCTTGGTTAGTTTTTGTAGCATAATATTCAGCATTTGTTGCTTTATTAAATAATTGTGCCAAGTCGAATAATGAGATTGTATCAGAATTTTGATGATGGGCTATCGTTGCAATTTTAGTCACATGATTTGAATCTGAAAGACTATTATCCTGAATATCACCTAAGCGATATTCTCTGTTCTCTTTTTCTTGTGTGATTGAAATGTTTTGTTTAGGCTTTTATTTTGATCCCAAAGCTTTTTCACAGTTTTCGAGTTCAGAAATTCAGATGTCAACATGGTTAATGTTTCAGATTGTATTGGTGAAATTAAGTTATTATGTGATTCTTAAAGTTTTTTTCCCGGTTCCTCTCTCTTATCTCATTATTAACTCTTTCCTTATGTATCATTTCTACAAAATCTAGAATCTTAACTGAATTGTTATTGATAATATCTTGTGGTAAAGAGATTGTAGATGTTTCAGGCTCTATTAAAGATTCAGATTGGGTTGAACTATGTTCTATTTCAGGCAAGGGATTAGATGTAATGCCTTTCTCCTCATCAGAATGGCTCTCGATAAGTGATGAAATATCTTTTGTAGGAGATGGCTCCTGTTTATTAGTAATAGCCTGCATCTGTTTCTGTTCCAATTTCATGATTCTATCTTTAAGCTCAGTATTTTCTTCTGCGATCTGTTCCAATTTGGCGATCCTGGCTTTGAGCTCAACATGCGTTTGGTGCTCTCTTCCATAACCTGTTTTAAAAGCTCGGCATTCTTGGCTTCGAGCTCAGCCTTTTCGGCTTCAAGTTCAGAAATTCGTTGTCTCAATGAATCAATCTCGGATTGCATGTTTTAGTAATAGATTGTATATACTCAATTGTTTATTTAAAATGCGTAACTAAAATTCCAAAAAATATTGTTTACTAAAATCAAAAATAATAGATGAATATCATAAACATATATTTAATATTTTTATATCATTATTTATTACGTTAAAATCCAATGAATAAAGATATTTATCCGTGACGGACAAATTTTGCATTACATCGAATTGTTAAACACGAAAAGTAATTATCGATACAATGTGTAGTCTTCGCACAAAATCTTATTAATGAAAATGCCAATTGACCTATTTTATTAAAAATGCATTATTTCTTTTGCTTTTTTGATCGATAATTTTGTTTTTTTGATTGATCAGGAGTTGGTGGATTTGGCGTCACTGAATGTACCTTCCGCTTAGAGAGTAGTTTTACTTTTGGATCAGAATGTGGTTCGACTTTCGTGATGTTAGATTTCATGAAGGTCTAAACATAAATAATTATTAAAAAACAATGAATAAGTGAAGCAGAATCAAATAATCTCAGTAACACTCACAAAAAATTTCAGGCAAGATATTATTGCCTCGGATAAAACGGGAAGATCTTGCCATATTGCTGGTATATAAAAACTTTCGTATTCACGTAAACAATATGATTTGGGGTGTATCGTGCACCAAAACAGAGATATTTCATTACGATGAGCCAGAGCCCCAAAACTTGCCAAGTTATTATAATCTTTTATACCATTATTGAACCGAAGAAATATTCGTTGATTCAGCACATCACGCATGGTTCGAACCAACCTATAATCATGGACGTAAAAATCAGTAACATCATCAACATCCGGCGGTCCTGTCTGTTCATATACAAATGTTTCTTCTTTGCTTTGCCACAGGCGAGCCAACCCATCCGCACGTTTTGCGCTTAGAACTTTATCAATAAATGGGTCGATACCGGAATTACGTCGATATTTGCTACTTCTGATTGGAACCTCGAGACTATTAACAGGTAATAACAATGTTAATCGTGATAAATGAACACTTTCTTGGAATGGACAAATTGAATTCACTTACATTCTCCAATCCACATCACATATGGCCTTGAGCGTATTTTTTAAAATGGGAATTACAAATTGTGAGCTATATTGTCTTTCCTCCAGGTCACCAGACTTTAGTATGTTAAACGGTGCTTTAAAAGCTTCAATACTAAAAGAATAAATATAATCACGACATTATACTACTAAGTATAAAAACATAAAAATATCATAAAAGCATAAACGTACTATGGGGAGAGTATATTGTATAATATATCTTTTATCACCAAATCTTCGTTACTTTCTTTTTCGTCAAAAAGTTTACGCCAGGCTTTCTCCCATTCGGCTAGAGTGTCTTTTGGCTAATTGACAAACAATTAGGATTAGCTAATTCAAAAAATAATTTGACAATCCCTAGATTTTAGAATATACCTTGAAAAAATCTAGTATTGATTCCTCCCAATTTTCTGATATTTTATGATTAGGATATGTATCTAAGATAAATTTCTCCCACGTTATTTCGGGAATAACCTTTGTCAGTCGTGATGTGGGTCTCAAATCCATAATATCACTTTTACATAAACTGATAACAAAAAACAATGAGTATAATAAGTTCAAGTTCATATAATTACGGGAGCTGGTTCATTTACTCAAATTCATTTTCACATTCACCACAGTATTTTTCGAAAATTTCTTCCAGATCGACATCATCCACTTTCAACACTTCACTTTCCACTTTTCCGACCAAGGACTCCACCGCCTTTTGCAAACAATTATCCGTGCCATTGGTTATAGTATCGATGTTATCGCCTAATAGTCCGTTATAGTCGCTCGTTTTTTGCATTTCATAACAGTTCTGATCCTCCAGTGTCCGTGATGAAGAAGCGATATTATTATTTTCTGTTATTTATATGAAATGCTTAGTGATAGCAAATTTGTACAAATGTAAGCAAAACATGCCAGTTCGTATTGTATCAAACTCCTCATAAGACTCCTGTAATTATTGTTGCGTTCCTAGCTTACGATGACGATTAGTTGACAAATTTGTTACTTCCTGTGCATTTGCATATCGAGAAAGCTGTTCACAAAAAGAAGTTCTAGAATAAGTAAATAAAATCCAGATCCTCTTATAAATGCTCTATTCCTCCTTACCGTTTTCCCAAATATGTTGAGATGCCCTAATGAGGCGGAACGAACTGCGTTTTCCTCCTCTTCCAAATTTTAGATTTCATTCCAAAAGTTGGTAACATCTGAAGACTTTTTTTCCATCTTAAAAGAAAATAGATCAGTATCTTTGAAAAACGCAGTAGTACTTGTTATGCAATATGTTGTGGCTGACTAAACTTTATCCGACCACAAGAACAACCTCAGATGCTCTTGATGGATAAAGCCCAAACCTCAGTTTATCATAAGAGTAACCTCAGATACCCTTACTTGGTAAAAGTCCTAACTAATCATTACTCGAACCGCAGATCTTCACAAGAACAACCTCGGATGCTCTTGCTTGAGTAATGTCAGAATGCCACAGCATCAAGAAAAAACTAGTACTTAACTTCAAACGCGTTCAAAACCTTTTTTGCAATTTCTCCGAGCTCACGATCATTTTCAAGGCTATGTAGTTTTGCATAATAGTCATTGTGTTCAGCTTGACTTTCTCTTACGAATGAAGCTTGTTCCCTTCTCTGTATAAGGTATTGGTAAAGATAATTGTCACTATTGCTTCTGAGTACAGCTTTGACAGCAACCTCTCTTTCTTGCTTCGCGTCTGTGTTCATAACTTCCATACAGAAAATTATTTTCTTGTACATCGGGTACAGATATATGCAAATCACATGACCAAATACAAATTTTCAGCGACGGCCCGTCATCAAAAGAATACCAAGAAAAATTCTCGATATATGCACATCGATACCAATAAAACTCCAAAATATAGGCAAAAAAAATAAAAATAAATTCAGAAAAAATATATGTAAATTCGCTTTATTGTTACAATAAAATATAAGCACATAGGTGTCAATTACATGATAAAATAATATAAAATACAGTCTGCGGAGCAGGACATTCTAAAAAATCTATCTATTATTTGTATACAACGTTTCTTAACTTCATGCTCATCACACATTGAAATTCTATTTCGATAATAATTTTTTTATATAACGGTCACCAAATATGTCCCATGATCTGCAATGTAATACAATTTAAATATGAAAATTTCTCAGTGCACACAATCTTAATTATTATAATGATTATATATACTCTTCTTTTTAATTATTGTTGACTTTCAATATATAAATGATTTTGATCTTTATTTATTTGTTATAAATGAATTTATATCATATAAATGAATCTTTTATTACTTTAAAGTGACTTTTTATATGAATATAATAAATTTTATTTCTTGAAGATTTTTTAAAGTAAGCAAATTTTTTATTCAAAGTTAATCAAAGATAGTTTGTCAAGCTTATTAATAGCTAAAATTTTTATTAAGCTGTTGATTTCCACTATTCCACTTTCTGGGAATCTTGCAAAAAGGTCGACACATTACCATTTGAGATGATAATTTTATCTTGCTAATTTTGTTCAGATTAGCAATTTGATATTTTGGTTTTTGAACTAAGAAAAATGAATAAAATATATAATAACATAATAGATTACATAATCTATTATTAATTACGATTGAAAGTGTAGAGTAATAGCATAATTATGATGTACTTGTACTATGAAAGATTATATAATAATAATGATAATGTTTAGAATTATAGATGAGTTTTTAGTTTTTTCATCAAATTTAACATTAAGAAAGATGATTTTGAATTTTGATCACGAATAAATTTTTGATTAGCCATATATATAAGAATCTATCTATTATTTCATGATTTCTTGTGATTGAAATACAAGACGTTATATTAAGCATGCTATACATCTTATTATTATCGTATAGTTATTTTTAGATGACTCACAAAGTGCATGAGTTCTGTTTGTGACTTAGTGATATCAATATAAAATGATATTAATATAAAATAATATTAATATAAAATGATATCAATATAAAAGGCTAAAATGTACTAACACTAATGCTAAGATAATAAAAAAAGAAACACGCTAAAATGAAATGATGTTCCTGTTTATTAAATTCACTAACTAAAAAAATTTATCAGATATTTCATATAACAAGTTGATTTTGTAAAGATAAATATAAAAGTTTTACATAGAGCATCTTTACATAGACATAAAAAGTAGTGATAGGAATAAAAAATCTTATATCATTTATTATTATCATGATGTGTTATCAAAAACTTCTACTTTAATTAAAGAAGTTATTAGTTCTCAGTATAATTAATTTCAAAATTTTTTCTTCACTTGTTATAATTGTTGTTGTTCCAATATGTTCAGACATATTGCTTATTCTATTTATTAATATAGTCTTGGAGTTGTCATAGAATTTTGATTAGCATGTCTTCAGAGAAAAAATTATATTATTATCATTAAGGTTGCTTGCCGAAATCCCTTAGTAACTGTCTAAATTCTGTCAAAATTATAATAAATTATTAGTAAATAACCCGTCAAAATTCTGACAAATTTTGAAACTCGTCGTAACTGAAATTATGTCGAAATTCTAATTAACAATTAGTGTGTAACCCGTCAAAATTATGACGATATTTTTCT